CCTAACTTCTCAAAGCTGTGTTTACGTCAAGCCTACGCCACGACAACCCACGGAAAGGAGTCAGGCAACAAGGCTGACGGCGCCGATCCATAAATTCGGAGGCAAAAACAGCATCAACCCTCTCCTCCATTTTTCATCCGTCGAGAAAGGCGCACACCCCAAGTTCAAAACAACCGACACGAACGCCGTACGGCAAAGTAGCAACGCCGGACAAAAGTACTTGAACGCCATCAGGACACACGCCTCGGACGGCCATTCTTCTTTTAGCGCCGTCCGTTCAGGAAGAGGGTCGCAAAAAGCAAAGGATACATGCGGCACCGATGCCGTCGACGCCGACCTCAAATGAGGTCGGCCGGCGGCCGTTTTCTCGCAAATCGTGACTACACATCCACTTGAATGACATCAGAGGCTCGGAATCGTCCGGCGGCAAGCAACCGTATCGAGTACAAACCGCCGGGCGGCGGCTATCTTTCCGGCTCGAGCTGTTCCGATAGCGCCCGCCCCCTTTCCGCTTGATCTCCGTCCACCGGGAGATAACCTCTGTTTGCGCGGAAGTGATGCGCGCCGGCGGGGGCGGGGGCGACCGACGCAACAAGTTGTCGGTGCCGAAACGCCGCCTGAGTGAGTCCGGCCGGCGTTCGGCTCTGGAAACCGCGCACGCGCACGTCCTCGGTACGGCGCGATAAGAAGACTCGCCGCTATCGCCCGCGTATAAATAGCTCCGCTTGCACCATGGCGTCATTCCAGATCCTCAATGAGCGGGGGTCCTCCATTGGGGGGGGGGGGGGGGGGGGGGGGGGGCGACTGCAGGGTCAAGACCTCCTGGACCCGGCCACTCGTCCGTTTGCTGTGAAAGGGACCACAGAAGCGCGGGAGCCAATCTGCGGTGCAATGCGGTCCGTCTGAGGCTCGAGAAATTCTGGAGCAAAAGTTGACTGCCGCAAATCTCCCGCGACGGGGATTTCATCGCGCTGTCCCCGCACAGATTCAAGACGTTTCGTGACGCCCGCACGGCACGAACGCCCTCCATATTTTGCAGCGGGGACAGTCGTCTCTTTTCAACGCAAGGGGACAAACCATGGAGGAAAGCGCACTAGACCAAAAAAAAACTGCCAAGAACGGACAGAGCACGCAAAGTCCAGCCAAAAAGGCGGAAGCGGAAGATTCCAAATTGTGAGCCGGGCAGGCACGGTAACCCCGAGGAGGAGAACCACGACGGCCGCCCGGCCTCCGACCGAGGCCTGGAATTCCATCCGTCCACCTTCCGCCGCTGAGGCGGGCGGGGAAGCTCAGACTTCCCTCTCCGCAGCCACGTCGTCCGGCTCTTCCGACTCCATTCTGAGAACCAATAACAAATTCGTGTTCGGCAGTCAATGTTGACGCCGGAGAAGGGGGGGGGGGGGGAAGAAAAAGCTCCGATATCCGAAAGTGTAGACCGAACAAAGGTGGGGCTTTCTCTCAAGTCGCAACATTTCGCCTTCTTTCGTGGATGTCTTGCAAGATTTTGTGCCTGTCTCGGGTGGAACTCTCGTGCGGTTACGCGTGAGATTCACTAAAAGCGGGCGCGGTTTAGTGGTCGAGTCGCATCATTTAGAGCAGGGGTGTCAAAGTGCGGTGTTTTCCGAGTCTCCCTGTTGCAGCGCACCCGATTCAAATCAACAGGTTCAAGATCAGGCTTCCGCAGGGCTCGCCGATGATCCGATCATTTGAATCAGCTGTGTTGCAACAGGGAGACCGATCGTGACACGTTCGATCCGCAGCCGAGGTGAACGCTTTGCCTCATTTGGATTTTCGCAGCCGGCGGGGAGACTGGGCAGGGAGGCCGGGATCTCGCGGCCGACGGCGCGGCGCTGCGAGTCCCGAGCAACGTCAAGCGACTGTGCCGCTGAACCGCAAGAGCGAGAATCCACGGCCACTTTATTTTGACAGCGGCGCGCATTCGACGAGCCACAATCCCAAAGCTTGCGCGCGCCAAGCCGCTGGAAGCAAAGAATTCTCCCGGCGCCCCGGAGGGCAATAGAATAGCGACGGTCTCGAGGACTGGCGGACTTGGGTTGCTTTGACGGTCAGTCGCCTTGGCGGGGATAAAAAGGGACAGAGCGGCCCGGTGTTTCCCGACAGTCGTTGAGCCCGTTTGACAGCGGCTCCCGGCACCCCGCCAATATGACCGCCCCAAGAAGGGCCGGCCGGTGTCTCCGTTTTCCTCGCCGGTGGGGCCCGGGCAACCGAAAACAAAGATGATGGACTGTACTTGCAGGAAGCCGCCGCTGGTCTCTCGCGTGAGCGCCAGCAGGGGGGCG